TGTTGATACTGGTGAAAAGTTTCTTCCATGAAGGACAGCATTTCTGCATCAGGACTGCAAGTCAGCCAACACCCTTTAGTTCTACAAAAGAAAGACCTGTTGATCACTTGCTTTTCAGCTTAGATTTGTGCTGCTGTTTGCACAGTGTCCTGCTCCTTTTTCTTCTATGTATACACCGCCCTTGTCTATAACAGCACTCTGGTAAAGCTTTCTTGTCCCAGCAGCCTGCTTTGGGTGAAAAAATGACCAATTCACACACTTAGAACCAGGGCATACAGGATTTCTGAATGATGATTACCCAAAGCAATGATTGCACAATACTGCAGGCTCACCATTAATACCTGCATTCTCCAACAACTTTTTGTTGCAGGTTGCCATAACCTTACCCACATAAAGTATCCAATGACTGCTACACTTGGCATGGAGTAGAAGAATATCAAGTATCAAAAGCTCTCAGAAGGAACCAATGCAACAGCACACACGGTACATACCTTTCCTGTCCACCTGCATTTCCTTCACATCCTCCTGCAGTTCCAAGCTGGCTTTGCAAAAAACATTGCTGCTCTTGTGGTTCATCTGAGCTGCCAGGAACGGGCATTTTGTGGCAGAGCTCTGGCCAGCAGCAGCAGGTGGGTGGTCAGCAGGAGGCTGTGACCCATCTGTGTTCTGCTGGGCCACTTCTTTGGCATTTTTGGCCTCTGAGGAGGGCAGAGAAAAAGGAAAGTACTTCAGCTTTATCGCTTTAATAGCTACTTCAGCTTTTCTATACACTTCTCTAGCAACTCACATAGTACAAGTCATTGAGAGTTACTTAACCAGGCACTCACATACTATTTACATAAGAAATTCCAATAATACCCAATAATAATAATACCCAATAATATCCAATAATAAGGAGCACCTGATTTCAGATGCTAGACACAGCACTGTTCCCTTCTGAGGTCAAAACCCCTCATTTACTCCTAAGAGGAAGATTCTTACTCTGAACACCTGCTGTTTTCAGCCCTCAGCACTAAACATCTCTGCTTCCTCAGGGTGGGATATGGGGCTGCCCACAGCAGCCTCCGGTTTTGGTTCAAGCCCAACTGCACCCATAGCAGAGCCGCCCATCTGACGGCACCCACGCTCAATGACCGCTGAGCTTTAAAGCATTAAGCAACCCTCATTCAGAAGCCGGCTGTTCCGGGAGCCTCCCCCTGCTCACACAGCGCCGGGCCCCACAGCACAGCGGGCCGTACTCACCCGGCCGGGCCGCAGGGGTCTCCTCCGCTTGCTGTCCGCGAACGGCGGAAGTGGCGAGGCCTCGAGCAGCGGCGGGCGGCACCGCCTCCATCATTTTGGGACAGTGCTGGGCATAGAAGAGCAGGGAAGGCCCGGCCTTCTGCAGGAAGGCCTGCGAGACGCGGGCCAGGAACGGGCAGCGCCGCACCACCGCCTCCATCCTTCCTTCTGCTGCAGCTACCGCCGGCCGGAAGTGACGTCACGGAGCTGTCACCTCACGGCGGGCGGAAAGCGTACAGCGCCCCGTCGCTCCACCGCCGCCCTTATATAGCCTTACCGGAACCGCGCAGGCGCAATGCGGGTCATTTATGCCCCGCCCCCAAGAGGTGGAGCGGGATGGGAGTGGGCGGGGCTTGTGCTGCGCTCCGAGCCGTGATTGGCCCCAGTGAGGGGCCCCGGGGGCTCTGAGGCGGCCGTGGGGGGACCATGAGGGGCCCCTAGGGATGCGCTAACGCAGTTCTGCCTGGTGGCTGAAGGATCCCGGCCCTCATGCTTTGCCTCCAGCCAGCACAAATCTCACAGCTTCTCCCATCATTCCCCTGCTGCGGTGCCGCTGGTTTTGGAGATGATTTTTCACCCAGAGGGCGGTGAGGCACTGGCACAGGCTGCCCAAGGAGGCTGTGGATGCCCCATCCCTGCAGGCATTCACGGCCAGCCTGGATGTGGCTCTGGGCAGCCTGGGCTGCTGGTTGGCGACCTGCACACAGCGGGGGGCTGGAACTCAATGATCTTTGAGGTCCTTTTCAACCCAGGCCATTGTGTGATTCTGTGAGGAGCCCTCTTGTGAAGGTGGCACAGCTGCATGTAATATTGTGTCGTGTCCCTTGGTTTGCAGTGAGCATTTACTTTAGTGTTTTTTATCAAAGAATGCTTACAGGGGGTAATGAGAGGAGGAGCTCTGTGTAGATGTGGCCATCCCAGTGCTGCTGCTGTAAGGGATATGCCGACTGCTGAGGTGTGAGAGGAGAAGGGCAATGATGCATTTCTTCCCCATCTTGCAAAATCTTGGGCTGTCTGCTGTCTGTGCCTTCCCCAGCCCCCAGGGGTTTGTGTTACACAGAGCTCATCCCCATGGACACCTGCTGCAGCAGGTTCAGTCCCACAACAATCTGATAATGCTGCTTTATCCTTCTTATCTTAATAGCAGAACCTCAGCGTGTTGCAAGGTGGAGGGATGAAGTGTGTTAGTCTGCTCTGCCGCTGGAATTCAGAAGCTCTTTGTATTGTATGTTTTGTATTCAAGAGTGAGAGTCAAGTTTGAAGCTTGGAGAGCATCTGTGTTCTACTCGAACTTGATTCAAGGTTGGAAGCTGAGGCGGCAGCCTTGGCTATGGCACAGAGGTCTCCCATTGAAGCAGAGCTCTCAGCTTTGCTGTCAGGCTCCCTTGCAATCTGTGCTATTAATCAGATGTGATTATAACCCTTCTTTAGAGCTTGGTTTCGGAGTATTTCTTTAACCTTGTACGAGACAGGAGTTGCGCAGAGCTAAACGGCCATGAATGACATTAACTTGACCCCTGTCTTGGAGAGCTGCTGAAGGAATGTGTCCTTGTCAGTGCACAGAGATTATTTTGAGCTCCAGGACCAACAAAAAGGGGGTAAATGCAGTGGAAAAGGGAAAGGGTGTCTTTTCAATACTGACCTTATTGCCAGACCTTACCTGTCAGAAGTGAAGCGAATACTAACAAAGCTGCCATTAACTAAAACTTCTTAGGTTTCAATGGATTAGTTACATGGTATTTAAGTGTGGCAATGTATTACTATCACCCTACAGGGCTAAGGAGAAGCTGGCTTGGATTGCCACGCAAATTCCCTTTGCCACACTCCAGAAAGAAGAGTTTGGGACAGCACCTTTGGGCTGAATGGAGAACAGAGAGCTGATCCCTGGCTTCCATAGCCTGCCCTAGGGCTGGGTGGGGATGGGAGACTGATTTCTGCAGCTATCCATGAAGAGCTGCTGTGGAAGATGCTCCCTTTCATGCTGCTGGTTTGCCAACCAGGCTCAGGTGCAAGTTAGCTTTGGCATTTCCCTCCTATCTCTCATTTGTTGAGCAAGTTTTCCCAGAATTTCCAGAAGCAACATTTGATGCAGAACACATTTGCTCCACTCAGTCCCACATCTGTCAACAGATAGCTCCTTTCTTAGAATTTTAATGGGTTTTGTGCTTTTTAGGGATCATTTAGATACTTTGTGAGAAAAACAAGAGCCAAAGCCTCTCTGTACTCAGTCTGTGCTATCTGAAGCGCATAACTGTACTGCTAGCAGCATTTAATCCCCTTTTCCCACTTCCCCACCCAGAGCTGTGCACATTCCTTCTTTTTTTCCCACCCAGTCAGTATCATGAGATGGTAAGCCAGAAAAACAACCCCCCCTCCCCACGCACAAGCCACGCTCTATATTGAGATCTGAATTTTCTAAGGGAGTCGATGTGATCTTGACATCTGGATTAAATCCAGGCTCAAATTCCAGGCTCAGATTGGGAATTCCACCTCCAGCGCTGAGAACAGCAATTCTTAGAGAACTTACTTTACCTTTTAAGGCAAAATTCGAGGGTTGTGAGAGTAGCTGCATAGCAAAAATTCCTCCCGTGCTGAATTTCTTTAGCAGATTTTCCCCGTTTGGATCCAGTGCAGTCCACGTGTTTCTCACATGGCAGAAGAGGAAATCTCACTTCTCTCCAAGACCAAGTGCCTGAGCAATCCTTGTGTTAGGGGCTGGGATGGAAGGACAGAGGTGAGAGGGCAGGGAAAAGACTTTGCTCTGAAGTCACAGCCTTCTCCAGCTCTCTTTAACCCAGGTTTCCATTGGAAGGACAGTTGGTAGATGAGAGAAAGGTGTGTGTGACTTCTGTATCTGATGGGAGACACTCAGCTCACACTTGCATAGAGCATCTTTGCTACACTGTGCAGCACTAATGAACTACAGCCACTGCCTGCACCTGTGGGCATTGGCATGAAGGGTCAGAGCACAAATGGGACTGGAAAGGTCCTTGAATACAAGAAATTGGTACAGAGTAATGGAAATGCCTCGATGGGGCTTTGGGGCTGTTTCTTCTAAAGCAATGTCAATGTCAAGGCTTCTAGAAGGTTGCTGGAAATTGAGGACGCTGGGTGTTCTGTCCTCCTCATCCCATTATATCACCTCTTTGACATCTATGACATCCCAGGGCATCTTTTGGGCAGATGATGAGGCTTGAAAAGGCTGTCACCTTGAAATGGTGAAGCACACCTTCCTGCCACACTACTTATTGATGGCTTGTGCTCTTCTTATCCAAATCTGTCCATCTCCCAGTGTAAGTGTATGTTCCTCCTGCCCACGGGGCTTGCTCTGCTCCTTTGCAATAGTTCTGGTTGCTTAACCTTTGGGGTGCAATACTTATTTTTCCTCTGAAGATTGAGGATAGGCTAGAAGACATTGATAGGGTATTAAAGTGAGAAGAAAGTCAGCAATAGAGGAGAAGGAGCCAGCACTGAAGTAAGAAGGAAGGAAATTATCGTATCTCCAAATTGTGAGCTGCGATCCAGGGAAACTCTGCGATATATTCAGGTTATCACAGTGCAAAGGCTTGCACTCCTCCTTTGCCTTTGTACCGTGCCGACCAAAAAGCTGGCCAATGCTCTGTTTGCATTATCTTACAAACAAGCTTAGTCACGCAAAGCTCTGGGCTCTGCTTCCAAGGCTCCCAGGCCAGTCTGCCTGCCAGGTGGCAGTGCCCACACTGGGAGAAGTACCACTGAGCCAGGAGAGCTGGGGATGGGAGGTTTCATGGTGTACTGTGACCCAGCCAACCTCTTCTGTGTGTAGGTTATTTGACCTGATGATTTTTGGGAGGTTTGAAGTCCATTCCAGCTGGAATCTGTGGTGTTAGAAGGCTTGGTGGAGCAAGCTTTTGAAGTCTCTGACTTGGTGTTCCGAGCAAACCAAACCTTGTTGGGTGTTGGCTTGGTGGTGGTGATGGTTGGAGTCTTGAATGTCTTCTTTCGGGAACTGCTCCACTTCTTGGGATGAGATGCATGTGGTTTCTCTTGTAACTATCCACTGCTCCAGCCCTGGGTGAGGGAAGATAAAAACTGATTTTAGGAAACATCCTCGAAAGAGATGGAAGTGCAAACGTTGTGCAACAAAGAAGTTGAAAGGAACCAGCTACGGAATGGCAAAAATCAAAACACAGTTAAGTCATTCTCTTTACTTTCACATCCAATTTCCCATGTTGAAATGATTGTAGGGGAAAACTACGGGAGGCTGGGGAGCTGTGTGTGCTGCTGGCTTAGCGATGGATCATTTAATCAACATTTGTGCTGTGGTTTTACATAGAACCTTGTTTTATCCCAGGGAGCTGTTATGTACATCAGAAAATCTATTCTCTTTGGACTTGCAGCACTTTGCCCACGGATTCCTGCTGCCATCCCACAAGCTCCTAATAGAACTTGAGTATGGCTGTGATGCGGTGTGACTTTTTGAAGACCTCTGATCTTGGCAAGTCTGTGCTTCAAAGTTGAACTTAAAAAACCCCACAGATTGCAGTTCACGTTCTTAAAATGTTGCATCCTGCTCCGAGTGTGAAATTTTGCGACGTGCTGTTTATATATCTGTATATTTAAATCAATAACAGTGCAGATCCCTCCTGAGACACCCCACTCAGCACTGATAAAGGCTGACCCATCAGTTTAAGCTTCTCTCCTGGCTCAAACAGAGAGAAGGGACCGAGCCGTGAGAGAATGTGGTCGGGAGGGGTGCTGCCTGCACATGGGGAGGAAATTTGGGTGACAGGGAACCGGCTCTCTACAGACAACAGCAGCACTAACAAAATGCACATTGCTATTGCTGAGATGCTAGGACTGAAGTGGTGCCTATCCGTGGATATTAGGATCATAATTAGTGGATATTGGGAAAAACTTCTTTATTGAGAAGGTAATCAGTCACTGGAAAAGGCTTCCTAGAGAAGTGGTTGATGCTTCATGCCTGTCCATGCTTAAGAGAATAATTGGGATAGTGCTCTTAATGATATGTGTCAGCTTTGGGCAGGAGTCTGATAGTTGGAATCAATGATCTTTATAGGCTTATTCCAGCGGAAAGCCATTCAGTTCCATTCCATTCCATTCCATTCCATTCCATTCCATTCCATTCCATTCCATTCCATTC